CGGTAGACGATGGCCCGCATACTGGCACCGGTACACGTTCCATACTTTGTATAGCACTGCCTTAAAAACATTTGCAGGCGAAATACACATTATATATATATATATATATAATCCGGTGTTCTTATTGATATTTTTATTTTAAAAAAACAGTGCTGAATGTAAATTTACAGAGCATAAATATTATGTGTGTGCGTGTCTGTCTGTGTATAAGCTCGAATTTTTTCCTAAGCCTACAAATTTTGTGATCGCTTTAATGTTTTCATGAAATTCTTTCTTTGTTGAAGTTGGAGGCATATAAAATACAAGTGAGACAAAAACAATATAAGAAGAATAGTCTTTTGTTATGAGAAAGAGCAATACAAATTCAAAAGGATGTATACCTATGTTTTATAGATTATGCATATTTACCCTGGTCTCCCCGCTGAGGTGAGTTGTACCAGAAGGTCGGGTTTAACGTCGAGAACTCTTTTGCGTACACCCAGGCCAAGGACAAAAATTGTTTTATAGATTATGCAAACAAAAAATGCCATGGCGGGGTTGATTAAAAACCATGTCAATTTTTGCTAGAACTGGAAGCCTATCTTAAATGTTGTCGTTCTACCAAGAGCGAATATTTTGAGTTGTGGTTTGGGTTTAAGGTAGTTCGCTGCTGGAGTTGGCTTAAATTTTTTTTTGGTTTGTTTTGTTTTACGGCATATCAACACATCAATGGGTTACTTAATGCCGACAAGATTTTTTATTGCTGGTAATACTTTTTTTCCCCAAAAAACGTACTGTTGGTAATATTTTTCCTTCAAAAATGTATTACTGGTAATAATGTATTGCCGGTAATAATTTTTCCTCAAAAATTTTATTTCTGGTATTAAAACCTATTTTTACACATTTAACAGTGCCCTGACACCAGCTTTGGGAAAAACTATTTTCCCATAGTTGGGACCCTAACAGATGGGAACACCAGCAATTTTGAGGTGGTTCCATGTTCCTCAAAACCTCCTGATCAGAGGCCTGTTTAGAATCAATTTAGCTTATTGAAGTAAATATAAGATTTGTTTATTTCTTTCCTTCTGAATGGATATATTTTATATTGTCATTGCAGAATATTTTTTTTCTACGAAATTCACTAAAAATGTAATTTTAAGAGGCTTGGTCTTATTACTTCGATGTTAATTTAACATTTTTTTCACTTAAAGTTAATTTAATATTCCTATGTAATCATTTATTTATCCAATGTTTCTTGTTGGTTTCTTCATTTCAGGTTCAAATTTGAAATATATTTTGTCTGTGCGCTGTCGTTAGCCAATAGCAAACATTTTTAGTGTTTTATGTCTCCGGTTTCAGATTGAGTTTCGCTTAGTCACATGAGAATTTTTTACCTTATAATTTGTCAATGAAATATGTTGATTATGTTAGGTCCCAAATATACAGAGTGCAATGGATAAATTTTTCTCTAGATTACGCTAAAATGAAAATAACAGTCTGTCTATATTTCTGAGATGAGGTATTATGTACATTATTTACATTATTCGGACTATTGTCCTCATCTTTTTCGCCATATCTATCACAACGTTTCGGCCGTTGTACGCTCCGGCCTTCTTCAGGTGGTTGGAATGTCGAATCCCATGCAGCTGCGGAAAGGAATATAAAGGAGAGACAGGCCGCCCCCTCAAGTTAAGGCTTCAAGAACACCAGAAAGCTGTAACACGAAGGGAAGTAGAAAAATCAGGCGTGGCTGACCACATATGGAGAGAGAAGGGAGGTCACCGCCCTCTGTGGGAACAGGTTGAGGTCATAGACAAGGAACACTATTGGAAAATTCGTAAACTCAAGGAATCAGCACATATGCTAGGCCAAAAAAATCTCCTGAGCCGACCAAGCATAGAAATGAATACAATATGGGAACCAGTAATAAGGAGTGCCAGAGAAAAGTAATGATAACAACATAGTTGCAATATGAGCTCTGGTAAAAACATGCAATGATAACAGCAAAATTGCAATATGAGCACTGGTAAAAATGGTTGCTGAAAACATTAGGTTTATAATACCCAGAAATTCATAAGCAGATGTCAAGGAATATGGCACAGTGGATAAAGGCGTTGGTTATCCAGTGACAGGACCCAAAGAGTGTGAGTTCAATACCCGGTTAAGGCAGTGGAGAACTTTCAGAGGGAAATTAACATGAGATAACTGATAACTGACATCCATCAAACAGGTGGAACTAGAACAGTCTAACCTGGTGAGTGAAATAAAGGGTTCAGTTCGACATTCCAGCCACTTGAAGAAGCATACAAGGCCGAAAAAGATATGGCGAATAAGATGGTATTTATCAATCAATCAGCCCAGCCAAAAATAAATAACCATCCAAACCCGCCGAGACGGGCCTGTTCCGTCAACCTCCCCCAGCTTCGTCCGGGTTCCCCTCTGCAAGCAGAGAGTTCGACACCCGACCCGGCAGCTCACAAAGCGCAGATACTACACTTTGATCCTAGCCACCAAGATGCGAATAAGATGAGGACAATAATCCGAATAATGAAAATAACACTGCTTTCACATTTTAATGAATATATTTATTAACCAAAAATTACACAAAATTACACAAAAATATTACTAAAGAGTAAATTTATTCAATAAAATCGCCATTGCCTTCAACTATGGCCTCCAGACGACTTCGGAATCTCCTGCATCTCTTCTGGCCTGTCGCTTAAGTTGGTGAATACTGCCATAATTCTTGACTCCAGTTCATCTTCGGTGTTACAAAGAGTTTTGTTGATTTCTCGCTCAACTGCTGCCCCACACATAATAATCAAGAGGGTGTCAGTCTGGAGATGGCCAGATATATGTGGTCGCAAAAATTGTCTGACTGCCATGACTGGGTTCTCCTGCTTGTGTGACATGGTGTAGAGTTCTGGCGCTAGACATAGTGTTTTCCAGCAGCCACCCTCTTGACCCAGGGCAGCACTACCTCCTCAAGTCATTTGATGTCGGTCTCCCTGTTGAGTCAGAGGCCCTTACCCTCACCAACAAATTTGAGAGTTCTTATTAGAACGATCAGAGTGAGTTGTCAAGGCTGTCGTACCTTCGTAATCACCATTAGACTCATCCAACTCTTTGCGAATTTGCTGCACTGCCATCAGATTGGCATCCAAACACTCTGAAATGTTCGTATTGGTGCTATCGGAGCGAATGCCAAGCCGTACAGCATACCTTTTCTAAATTTCTGGTGGAGTAAATTGCACCATGGTGCTCCTTTTCTCACAGACGGTGCCCAACTGACCCTACTATACTGTGCAGTCGACAAAATAAAAACAAAAAAACGCGCATTATTTTAATGCATGTTGTTTATTTTTAAGCGACAATTTACTTTGCAACTGTATATGCATATGTGTATGTTTTGGGGTTTTTCTTGTTTTGTTTTTTTTTTTATTCAAGTACATCAAATAAAAGGCCCAAGAGCCGCTAAAGATAGAGGTTTACTGATTGATGAATATAATACAAAAGTAAGAGGTAAAGTATGAAGTGTAAATTATGAGGATATGGAGCAACGATTGACCTTTGAAGAGGTTTTGTAGCCTTTGGGAAACACCCACGCGGGAGTATGTTCTACAACGTAGCTCTTCTCGTAAAGAAGATTTTTGAGTGGGGCATCCTGGAATACGTAAGGGTATGCGAGTAATTCAGCCCTGTGGACGTAGCAAGGCGCACGATAGAATGGAGTTCGGTTAAACGTTTGGAATGAAATTAGCGAAAAGGTTTATGATGTTGCATCTGTGAGATTAAGATTGTAATTTCTATTTTATCACTAATCCCCACATTAAAATTTAAAAAAAAAAGAGTTCATCGAGAATCGATGATGACCCAACGTAGCTAGCTCTGTGCTTTGGTATGGTTGCAATGGTTTGCGTTGGGCATCATCAAGCTTCTCTTCTGTTATGGGGTCCTCCCCTTTTTTCAAATAAGTGGACTCGACCAGAGTGTTACTTGGCCTGCTGCCGTTAAATATCCAGAGTCAGTCAGAATATAGGGAGAGAGAGAGTGAGCAGAGCAGAGATTGTGATTGAGTTGGAAGTAGAGTAATAGTGTGAGGTAACCGCTTGTAGAAGTCACAGTTACAAGCACGTAGACTTTAAGGAAGTCCTACTTCGAGACTGTATATATATATATATATATATATATATATATATATATATATATATATATATATATATATATATATATATATATATATATATATATATATTACTAAACTGCGTTCCTGGATTTACTAACAGAATTACCCTTTGTATTATTGTGTAAATACATTTAAGTTCTTATATTTAATTCTTGCGTTTGTCATTCATTGGAGAGCGAATTTCATCACGGAATCCACAACATCTTCCTAAACCTATAATCCCAGGGCACACAAGTGTGTGATGTCTGGGGAGAGAACGCAAGCCAAAGGGGGTGACAGACTGGTTTGAATTCAGAGTTTTCTTTCTCTTTAACCAGTTGCCACCCAAGACTATGGAACCCAGTCTACCCTGCTATTTACCCATCGCTAAAGGGAGAAAGGATGGATTCATATCTTCCCCAGGGGTATTAGCACGTAAGTGAATGTAATGGACTTGACTCCTCAGTCCGAGCCGAAGTACATCGTGCCTTCATATATTACAATTAGCTAAAACCTTAAATCAATTTATCATGCTATATTTTCCTACAAAATATGCCCTATATACTCATGTATAAAGCGATTTCATGTATAGTGCTACTCGTGAATTTTATTAGATGGATTTTAACCTCTCCAGAAAAATTTACTTCTGTATAGTGCATGAGTTTTAATCCCTTTCAAAAAATTCTCTGTGTATAGTGCGACCCCCTTTTTTTCGCGTAAAAAAACTGATCATATATCGTCGTCATTTGCAATTTGGAGAGGAAAGTTGACAGACTCAATAGACACAAAATGTTTATACTCTTTAATATGACATCATTTGAAGTACATTAGCTATATAGATGCATTGGATCGAATTTTATGCATTTGTCTCTTCGTGCTTAGCATAGATAGATGCGAAAAAAGATAGATAGATAGATAGATAGATAGATAGATAGATAGATAGATAGATAGAGTCATTAGCAAAAATATAAGACTGTAACAAGGTTATTTTTATTTTTTGAATTATGTTGTATCATACGAGCTTACACGATGCAATAGGTTTTTATAATTGCATCAGTCAGTATTCATGCCTGATTTATGGTCAACAAGGTTTTGTCATTACCAAATTAGCAGCCTTTGTGATAGTAATTTTTGTAACGAATTCGGCTTAGAATATAGACAAAAAAATCCTACTTCTCATCAACACGAATGGCCCAAATTGTGCTTCTACGCTATAAAAGCTATTCTGAACACGAAATTAGTAAAAGAGAAATGGATACTGCTATAATGAATTTCGAAAATTAGGGATATTTCGGCGAGAATGCGAAAAAATCGATGTCCAAACGAAAACTATTGATAAATTGATGATTTCGAGATGAAGCAAGTTGCTACACAAACATCAACATATTCTTGTAAGTAGATACGTGCTTCCCTATTGCAAAATGATACAAATGTCAATTGTATGACAGTTTTAGGTCATCTAAGATTTGAGTTTGGTCTGAAATGATTTAAACTGGTTCGTAAATAGCCTCCAGCTATGTAATCTAAGAATCTGATATTTGCTAAACCGGTTCACACTTCTCCTTGGTCTTCTGAACAGGAGTAGTGGTTTATCCTTTAATCTCTGTTTAGGAACGGGTTTCCGGTTTAATCTAAAGATTACTTTAACTTTGTACTTCTAACGTCTCCATTTGAATACTAAAATTTTAGGAACTATTTTTTTCTGTCTTCATTTGGGGTATCTAGATTCGCCCAGTCACCCGATCTTTTCAAAAGGAGTAGATTAGAGGTTTATCCTTTCTTTATAGTTTGTGATTTTGGCTCCTTTTAAAACAATTTCATTCTCTTTCACTCCCAGTAGACCATTGCGTCTTAGCCGGGGTGGGCAAAAAGTTTACCCCGAAACTGGAGTCAAAAGACTATAAAATATAAAAATAAGATTTTTATAGTAAAATACAGCAATACATTTTTGAAATAAAAAAAAATATTATCAACAATTCATTTTTGAAAAAAATTAGAAAAATATTACCAGCAATACATTTTTGAAAAAAAAAAAATATATATATATATATGTATGTGTGTGTGTGTGTGTGTGTGTAACTCTCGACAAAAACCCTCTTTCAAACGTACGTCAATGATACCTTGTCTACAAATTGACTTCTTACAAAGAATACATATTCTATTCATACGAACCTATCCTAAAAATCTTGTCAGCATTAAATAACCCACTGAAGTGTTGATATGCCGTAAAACAAAATAAACTTAAGCAAAGCTTGTGCCTTATACGGCTTGCTTGGGTCGAAGAGATTAAAAAAGAAAGAAAAAGCAACAGGAAACTTGGGCAGCTGAAGACTTGAGTTTGTTATGCGTAAAAGAAATATTAAAAGACTCCCCGGAGATTTGTTGAAGAATATACAATGCAGAATATGAATCACACATCAAGCCGGATGATTTGGAGGGGGGGGGGCATATCTAAATCTGGAACAGCTGAACTCTCAACTTTCTCAAGGAACAACGATGAATGGTGCAATGTATTTAGAACAACTGCAGGAGAAACTGAAGCCGGATATGCACTTTAGTCATTGCCCAATATTTATACATAATGGTGCGCCATTTCACCGGTCAAAGGTCGTTCAGAATCTTTTGAATAGGAGCAACGGGACAACACTTGACTGGCCGGGGGATGAGTCCATCTTTAACCCAATGGCAGAAAAAAACAAGCATTCAGAGGGAGTACGAAAGAAGACTATCAAAAGAAATCTTGGTTGACTAGTGTAACAAACGTAGTCTGATATTTACCCTAAAAAATACCCCTAAATGTATAAATCTACCATTCGGCTATGCTTTGAATATTTCTGCAACTTATGGTCTGGTGCCCTTGTATCTATTTATAGCTCCCTGATAAAATTCAAAATCTGCAATTCTCTTTTGTCCTGATCTGGAATCTCAGTTTCAGTAACTTTCCCACCGTCATAATGTTGCTTCCCTCTGTCTTTTCTATAAATATTTTCATGGTAATTGTTCCAATGAACTTTTCTCTATGCTATTCATTGGCGATTCATTTTTAAATGTTTTTAATTTTATCCATGTTGTAAATGTTTTTATTTTAGACAAATTGTACATATGAGAACTAGTTAGAAGTAAATAGAGATTTTGAGGTACTATGGGGGAGGGCTGTAGTAAGAATGGTGAGTAGGAATTTGTTGTATTAGTGTAAGAATTAGTGTCGTCTGTTTGGATAACTAAGTTTAAGATAAGACAGATTGAAGACAAGCCATTTCTTATGCCCGTTTGGGCCTTGTGTCATATTTTTGCATTATTCAAAATAAATATTACTTTTCTTTATGATACATCGACTTTATGAATTTAAGCGCAGTACTAGATTGCAAGGTCTCATCATTTTACTGTTGAAATAGCTAGATAGAACCGTAAGTTCTATGCTAACAGTTTCTTCTATCCTACCTTTTTAGCTTGTGGGACTCTCTTCCGACTTTTTCATTTCTAGTCAAGTTTGACTTTCAGTTATTTAAATGCAATGTCAATTATTATCTTCTGTCTTCTTAATTCCCGTTCTTTTACGCTTCCCTCTCCTTAATAATCTTTTTCTTTCTCAGGTTTTCTCCCTTATACAGTCACCTCTTGCGTCTTTGTGGCTTTATTGCCTTGTTCGGTGTGAAATGATAAAAAAAATGTGTATCACTTTCTTTCTATCTATTCTATGCTATCTATTTCTGCATCGGTCTATCTTCATACTACTCTCTCTGTCCGTATCTCTCTCTTTCTTCGTCCCCCTCCTCTCTCTCTCTCTCTCTTTATCCCCATCTAGATGTAACCGTAAATTCTAACTCTTTCCTCTGGAATTCACTTCCGGCTTCTTACTTCCCACTCAACTTTGATCTTTAACATTTTAAATGCAATGTCAATCGTTATCTTCTGTCATCTTAATTCTTGTTATTTTATTGTTCTCTCTCTTTAATAATGTTATCGTTTTTAGTTTATTCTTGAGTAAATGAATGGAGAAACGAAATTTAGGAGAAATAACAGAAAGATAAAATTTATTAAGAGCTACAAAGGACAAGAAAGTTGTGGAGAGCTATGATCGCCTACGTACTGAGGGGACACGGCACATGAATAAGAGTAGATTGTTGGCAAACAGAAATTTAAAGTTTTCATCAATTAATGTTAAAATTTTTAGATGGTTTCATCATTTTACAGTCAAAATGGTTAGATGGAACCAAGTATATTTTCTATGCTAGCTGTTTCTTCTGTGATACTTTTTGCTTATGGAACTCTCTTCCAACTTCTCACTTACCAGTCAACTTTGATCTTAAATGCAATGCCAATCGTTATCTTCTCTATTCTTAATTCCCGTTCTTTTATTGTTCTCGCACCTTAATATTTTTCTTTGCTCCATGTTTTCAAATGTGCTATAATAAATTGCCTCGACCTCAGATCGCTCAGTTTAGAAGACTGTCTTAGTTTGGAGGTTGAAAGAAAAAACAACGAAGTTAATGTTATATTATTTAAACAATGTTTCTTATTTACTGCAGGAATAACAGGATAACAACTAACACTACAAAAAATGCAAATTCCTTACTACAAACTAAATGCAGTTAGAAAGGACAAATTATTTAATGAGAAACTTTTTTCGGTGTATTTTTCGATAACACATCAGGTGAAATATTTGTTGGCAACAGGAACAAAACACCATCACCCATCTTTGTTCTTAAATGTCTTTTAGTATATTTCATTTTCGCAAAAAAGTTGTTCACAAGCATATGTACTCTTAAATAATGATACCATCATTTTCGTATTATTCAAAAGGTTTTTCCGCTTGGCAAAGAATATTTCTTGTACAAGTCTGTAGTGTATACGAAATTAAATTTTGATTTAAAAAATCATCGCTTTTTTAGTTAACTCCAATTGATATTTTTCTGTCGCTTGATCCACGAATTAATTAGATAATTATTGTCCAGCTGTTAAGTTGGCGGGCCGGAGAAAAATCTTTCTTTGGCCAGATGTCGCTTGGATATCGAGGTTTGCCGATCGCTACCCTACGTCTTAGTGGTTTTATCGCCTTGCTGGGGGTGAAATAATTTTTTTTTAAAGTGGCCAGTGAGATATTATCTGTGTAACTTAATATGTCCAAGTTAACAGAAACTGCATAATCTTGAAAACACCTAAATGTGAGTTCAGTAGGCTTCAAATTCGTGGACTAAATATATATTTATAGCCGCGCAGGATATTATGCCATGAACCATCTTGGTTGTTTTCACCACAATATTTCCGCTAATATACCCTCGGGATATATCACATATTTAAACGGCACTTAAGTATTCTTATTATTTTATGTGCCGCATCATTTCAAGACATTGGCGATCATGACTCTCCACAACTTTCTTTTACATTTGACCCATAGTAGTTTTCTTCTTTTGCTGAAGCTCCACTGACCCGCCATCGATTTATGTAAGCTCTTCAGATACGTGGCTCGTTGCCTTTCCTCTGTGCCTCTTACCCTCAATATGCTCCGTGAAGGTTAAGTTTTTTCAAGACCTCCTTCTTCATTATGTTTCTACGGAATTTCCTTTCTCTTTTCCTGATTCTGAGTAGAAGTGTTTTATTTTCTGTTATTATTACTCCCATGTTTACTTACCAACTCCATCCATGGAATTTTCAGTGTCCTTGAGTGGAACCATATTTCTACTGTCTTTTAGTTTCTCCTCATACCAGATGCAAAATGCTTAGGTCAACGAGCATAAACAGCTGAAACGTTCTAATTAATGTAATAAAGATGAGATAATTGTTTTTCGTCATTCGTTAAATACACAAAATGTCTCCTTTGTTTTTTTTCGCTTTGTGTCAAAAAGAGATTAAGAAAAAAAAACAATAAGAAAGACGTGGTTGATTTCAACCAGTCAGGAGTGAAAATGTTGTAGAGTGAGCGCAAAGTTTTTTTTTCCGTATGAATCCAAAATACGTTCGTCGCCAAGTATTGTATATGGCGAAACGAATTTTTTTTTCTTCAAATTTTTTTCCGTATGAGAAACGAATCCCTCGTCGCCAAATGTGTTGTAGAGTAATTTTCACAGTGGAAGCTTGTATTTCACTAAGTCGGTCCAAAATTAGGTTCGACGTACAAAACGTTAGGAACTTGAAATAATAGTTAATGACGCAGCAATCTAGTTGTGGGGATCATACTTTAATGTCCGACATCGACTGACTCACACAACTCACTCATCTTCACTGGTGACTGCTACTACTACTACTTATCTGTGGGAGAGTCTATTTACAATAGAATAGGTTGTTAGACATTTCCATGACGGTCGTCCTTGAGTATTGAATCTAGATGTTAGCAGTGAATATTTCGGAGACAGTAGGAAAGCGTACTTTAGGTTCGCAGTGGATATCACAGCAGAGTGTAGTTCATCCTTCTCCTGGTCGACTTTGGTCCTTCCGGTAGACGAAACAAGATGGCCGCCTTTATACACGATGAATACAGTGTTGGGCGGCTTCGGATTGGTCAACCTCCCATTGGTCGACTATAAAGGGAAATAAGTCATTCTGACTCGCTCACTAGTTACAGGCGTTAATATACCCAAAAAACCGTAACATAGGTACGTTCAGGTATAACAGAAAAGGCCCAGGATTAGGATTTAGATTGAAAGAAAGACGCGTCGAAAATCTTCAGGTAATCAATTGAAACAGTCTCCATATCATTAATTCTTGTAGAGGATTTGAGAAAAAGCAGCTATAACCATCAAAAGCGTTAGAATATTTCTGCTAAGACGACATATCATAGATTTATGACGTGCCTGCTTGAAATAGTTTGCGAGGTCGTTTTCTCAAGTCATCAATGTGAACGCACCCGTGACCCCAGATGAAAACGAAAAATAATGCGATTGAGATCCAATAGCCCAACAGAACAGAAAAAAAGATTGATTCGGAAATTATGGTGGAAATAGATAGGAAATAGTAACAAGAGGGAAGGTTAGAAGAAAAGAGAAAGAGTTCATAAAAAGAGTAAGGAAAAAGAGAGAGAAAGAGAGAGAGAGAAAGAGAGAGAGAGAAAGAGGGAGAGAGAAAGAGAGGATTGATAGTTCCCTCCTCTGCCACCAAAAAAAAACAGTATGAAGTAAATAAAGAGAATATCTAACAACAAATTGGTCATTTCAGTGGCACCCAGCATCGAATATTTTTTTTTACGTAAGGAAAAAAACAAAAAACATGTTCAACAGAAAAGGGAAAGCTACCGATAAAGAATTGGGAATTGGTTATTCGTTGTGAACAGCCGGTACCAGAATGTCGTGGTCAAATCTCAGAACATTTTGCGTGCACAGAGGTTAATCCCCTGCTTTGGTTCTGCCAGAATCAAAAATTATTTCGATCCAAGCGTTATATATATATATATATATATATATATATATATATATATATATATATATAAAAAAAAAAGGCTTTTATAGTACACCATCGTTATAATTTATCACATTGGAATCGTAAATACGATCCAATTCATCAGACCAACAAATTCAAAAAGAAATCAGAAAAAATAACTCCGGAAATAAAAAATAAAATTTAGTGACAATATGTTTAATGTTTAAGCCTTTTTATTATATCCTTACTCTGTCCTGGATACTGAGTTCTACCTGGATTCTGTCCTCTTGGAATTTTTTCAAACACACACACACACATATATATATATATGTGTGTATGTATGTAGTATGTATGTGTATGTACGGTTGTATATATATATGTGTGTTTTTAGATATATGTACATATATGTATGTATATATTAACCACTAATATTATCAATCTCTCTCTCTCTCTCTCTCTCTCTCTCTCTATATATATATATATATATATATATATATATATATATATATATTATATTATATTTTTACTTTTTTTTTTGCCGTAAAGGATTTTGTTCTTTTTTTATGTCATTTTATTTACGGTCTTTTCATGGATTTCCTTTCCAATTTTCTCTTTTTTATTTGATTTTATTTATTATAAATTTTTCTGGAGAATTTTCTATTTTTTTGTAACTGCTTTCTGTAGTGAGTTGACTAATTAAGCTATAAGTTATAAAATATTGGCCTCGATTTTTGCGACATGTTCAAGTGTGATTATGTGAAGGAAGAATCAAAGAAAATAAAGCAATGGTAGATTAATTACAACTGAGTAACGAGTTCGATTCTCACTGGATGTTCCAAATTTTCAGGTTTGTACTACATCAAAGCTACTCTTAAAAAATCGCTATATTCAATATTTTGGGGACACCTCAACGTTGTATTATGGTTAGCAAGCTCGTCTCGCTAGAACAATTACAACTATGTAGTAATTTCGATTCTAACTGGGTGCTCCATGCTTTTAGCCTTGTGCCACATCTAAACTACACTTAGAAAATCTTTGGGCACTTCGAAATGGTACAGTTGTTAGCAAGCTTGTCTTGCTAGATTAATTACAACTGAGTAGTGAGTTCGAAATTTTCGGCCTTGTGTCACATCACCATATTTGATATATTTTAGGCACTTCGATGTGGTGTAATGATTTGCAAGCTCGTTTCGCTAGAACAATTACAACTGAGTAGTAATTGCGATCTTCGCTCAGGTGCTCCCCATTTTAAGCCTTGTGCCACACCTAAACCACGTGTAGAAACTGCTAAACAATCTTAACTTCTTAAATAAAATTGTATAATCATTTTATGTAGTTGCCATAAAATCTTTTCCCTCCGAGGTACGTATTGTTCATTGTATTATATTTTTCATGAAACCTTTCGATCCAATATACCATATCGTTGTGCTGTAATGGTTAACAAGCTGATCCTGCAGATCATTAATTAATTTCGATCCTCAAACCTTTTCAAACCGACTTTTGAACAAGTTCTGCATTAAAATAAAAACCCTATATTTATTATGGGCGTCCGTAATCTTAAAAAATCTTAAGAGCCGCAGATAACACATTATTCATCGCAGACACAGAAAGGAATCTTCAAGAACTCTTTCATAATGGAGTAAAAGAAAGCAAGAAGAAATGATTAAACATCAACACGTGTATAGCTGGCCACTCGTATTCGAGGATACCCGTCAACTAGGGTGGCTAGACAATCCCTAATTGCAGACGCTTGCTCAGGTACTATGTTTGTTCAGCAGCCACAGGACCTGCCTATGGTTTATACTGCAAATATGCTGAGCAGACATTAGATACAGTGTCTAGGAAAGAGCATGTTATCTAGTGTGATCAACAATTTGAACAAAGTCAGCACGCTTAATGTCTCGGCCACGATGACTTGTGACTTCGTGCTAGTACAGCTATCGACGGCACCCAAGGGTTCCGTCTACTCAATTTCACTAACAAGGCTTAGGTCAACCCTTGGTAGGGTCTTTAGCACTTTCCAAATGTGCCGTACGCTGTGATCGACCCCTCCAGTTCGATAACATCAGGAAGTCTCCTTCCTGACATATCGAACATGATGAGACTCGAACCCGGGTCTCATAGAATGCAAACGTTCTAATAGTTCGATCACGTGTGGTTGTCAGCAAAAGAGACAGTACAACATGCGATTTTACAAATTGGACATAGCAGAATTAAACCAGTGCAAAAATTTAAATATCTAGGATGTGTTATAAAAGAGAATACAAAACGTGACACCGAAATCCGAAGGACAGTGAAAGATGCCTTCCAGAATATAAGCAAAGTATTAAGAAACAGGAAAATTGCATTGGTAACAAAGAAAAAGATACTGATATTTTATGGAGAATCGGTTGTCTTATATGGCAGTGGCTGCTGAACGATCTTCTCAAATAATGTAGAAGAGACTTGCAGCATCAGAAATCAGGTTCTACAGAAGGATGCTGAGAATACCATGAATAGACCGAACATGTGAGCAAAGACGAAGTTTTGGAGAAAACAGAAGAAAAAGCACTCTTATACCTAACATCAGAAAAGTCACTTGAAATTTGTCTGACACATAATGAGGAAAGAGGGCTTGGAAAATCTGATGTTCACAGGACAGATTGAAGGCAAGAGGCACAGAGAAAAACAACGCATAACCTGTCTAACGAGCTTGAGTAAATGGATGACAGGACAATGTTTAGGAGAGATGACAAAAATACAACATCTATTAAGAGCTAAAAGTACAGGCAATTTTGAAGACCTTTCCAAAAAGTAACAATATTAAGAAACAGATAAAATTCTTTAGAAGCAAAGAAAAGGGTACTAAACTATTACATGATATCTGTTCCTCTGTATGGCATTGAGTGCTGGACAATCTCCTCAAAGATGAAGAAGAGACTTGAACCAAAAGAAATGTGGTTCTACAGAAGGATGCTGAGGATACCATGGACCGAACAGGTTAGTTACGACGGAGTTTTAGAGAAAATGGAAACAAAAAAATTATACTTAACATCCGAAAAAAAAAACAGTTGAAATTTCTGGGGCACGTAACGAGGAAAGAGGGCTTGGAAAATCTGATACTCACAGGACAGATTGAAGGCAAGAGGAACAGAGAAAAACAACGCATAATATATTTGGTAAGCTTGAGTAAATGAATGATATAATAAGGTTTAGAGAGATAAAAAGAATATATAGCACGAATTAAGAGCTACAAAGTAAATGTAATTTTGAATAGCTATGATCTCCAACCTTCTGAAGAGACAAGGCAAAGAGAAGAAAAGGGAATGCTTTCATTTAATTTGCCTGTTTGTTTTTACTGTATCTTAAGTTATTGTTTAATTTTTAAAATTCGAAAATATTCATTAATTCATTTTCGAATGTTGTAAGCTCGTTTTGTTATGGCACGCTTTTCATAATTTTGAATCAGAAATTAACTTCTGTGTTGTTTTTATGAAGAAAGTGGAATATGTTCCAACTCAACCATTTTATAAGATGTTCTTTTTTTCAATCAATTTAATTTTCTAATTGTGAGGTTTTGGTATTTTAGAATTTCAATAATTTTTAATTTGTTACTTTCATTCCAAATTAATTGAAATTAGGTTTAAATTGTCAACCCATTCTTGCGCTCTCTTTTCTCTCTCTTTCTCTCTCTGTTTGTAATACATACATACATACCTCTCTCTCTCTCTCTCTCTATATATATATATATATATATATATATATATATATATAAATTGGGTGCGAAATATATTTTTTATTCCTATATTTAATTAGTTGCGATGTGGAATCAAAATAAAGTTTTTGTAAAAACACAAACCTTCCCACAACATTCTATAGGTAGATAGATAAATAGAAAATAGATATGAACTGATTGAGATAGATAGATAGATAGATAGATAGATAGATAGATAGATAGATAGATAGATAGATAGATATGAAGGGATTGAAAAAAATAGATAGATATGAACAGATCGAAATAGATAGATAGATAGATAGATAGATAGATAGATAGATAGATATGAAGGGATTGAAATAAACAGATAGATATGAACAGATCGAAATAGATAGATAGATAGATAGATAGATAGATAGATAGATAGATAGATAATATCTGGGCTCAGAAATCGACACTAGTGATTTGTATCAACACTTTTTCTAATTCATGCGCTCGTTTTCCGATATTTAACTTATGTATTGTCACATATATATATTTACACCTACATATCCACACGCACACATATACGTACACACACAAACAGGCGCACGCATAAATCTATGTACATTACACTCGCACTTATATTATTGCTTTCATGGGAACATAAATGAAAGCCGGTTTTGTCTATCGTTTCTCTAATTTCTATTTACATACGAATGAATTTCATCAGAGTTTGGAACAAGGTCACCAATAACATTATGGAGAAAAGGGACTATGATCTAATTGCAGGATTTTGTCATGTTTACTGAATTTGACTCTTTCAACTTAGTTTCCCTCTCCCCACAAATAAAGACAAACCAGTCCCACACCCTTTTCAGAAACGTGTTATGTCTTCCCCACTTTTTTTTCTTTTTGTACTCGTTTGTCTCCCTTGTCTTTTCTGTCGGCTTTGATTTTTTTCTTCTTTTTCCTCCACACTTCGTGATGACGGTCTTTATACTTTAACGTCCACCCCCCCTTTCTTCTCCCTTTTTCTCTCCTTCAACTCCTTTCTTTTGTGCAATCATATCGCTATTTACCCGCCTCTCCACAGTGGCAGGATGTGACACAAGGTTGGTTTATTGTAAGGTGCCTTTACACATACATATGGGTCAAGGACAAACGCTACCCAGTCCTCGGCGCCATTGTAACGCTGGCGTGTGAACAGAAGAATACCACATGCATAAAAGTTTAACATAGTTTATATCTCAGATAGTGACTTTTTTTCTTTTTTTTTTTTTTTTGCGAGCGGTCACAGTAAGATTTACCCTTACAAGGCTCGGGAGGTACTCGAGATAGAGGGTTACATTAAGGAGTAGTTTATATGGACAGGAAGGGAAGAGAGCGGTCATCTGAAGACATAAACAGGTTAAGACGACAGTGATCCGTAAAACATTTTTTTGGGAGTCTGTTCCATAGAATAGTTGTCCGCGGATATAAGCTATCCTAGTCGAATCTTCTTTTTCTTTTTTTTTCACCCTGCACAAAGCCCGGGAGCCACTCGACGTAAAAAGTTATGTTAAGGGATAGTTTATATGGATAGGAGGGGTAGATAACTGTTAACAGGAACAGGTTAAGATTGTAGTAATCGGAGTAACATCCCCTTGGGAGTCTCATCTACGAGGCGGAGGTTCGCGAGTATTTGAACTAACTTCTCGCCGATGGAATACGGGGGAAATGTCGGTGTTTTGATATTATGTAAGTGGCATGTCCTGTCCTTGTCGTGAAGGTTACCTCTGGCGGAATCAAGAAATGTAGTCCGTCCAAGCACTTTTCATGGAAGCAGCGAGAGAGCAGAGTGAGACTCGCCATATCCCAACTGAGAGAGAGAGAGAGAGTGAGAGAGAGAGATAGAGAAAGAGAGAAGGGAGGGTTGGAGGGTGGGATTTAATTCTTCTCCAAGAAGGACTTGGTGACCTTGTTCCAAACTCTGATGAAATTCATTCGTATGTCAATAGAAGTTAGAGAAACGATAGAAAAAAACTGGCTTTCATTTATGTTCACATGAAAGCAAGACACTTTTGAACTCTGTTGTGGTACGATCCACCTAATTTACATAGTAGAGTACCGATCATATAAATATGGGTTGGTACCGGGAAGACGGGGTGAGGAAGAAGAGATCCAATCCAGAGACTCTGCCCGACTGCGACTAAGTCAACCCATTCTACAGGAATGGTCTTCCCAAGAATATACCAAACTATCTGTAAATATTGTGTACACGTTCTTGTGTCAATACATTTTATTTAAGTACATTTTGTGTTGTATTATTATTATTCCATGCTTTATTCAAGTTTCAACAAACTCTATCACAGAAAAGTGATGACCGGTGATCTCCCGTTCAAATATGGCAACTGTACTTCATTTTCGGCCTGATCTGGCTCTTATAAAGAAAGCGGATATGCATGAGGAGTCAGGTATTTACTGGAGCGGTACAAGAAGACGATCGCTCATAACTTACAAACCGCAACAAATGAAGCATTCTCATATTCTTTTTTTTATTAGTCTATCTTGCGTCATAATTTTTGTCTACACCGTAACAGACATTATTTATTTATTTATTTATTCAAGCTTACCTTTTTCTTTTTTTTTGTTTTCATATTTAAGATAACGAACTTTCGAATTTGTACGACACTGGTTTCAAATACTATTGTTATGAATAATCAAGAGTGATCTCCCCCTGTTTTGTTACTCTCCTATTTAAGAGAGTTATTTCTGTTTACTGGAACTATAAAAAGACACTATATCTCAGCTGAATAAAACTGTCTTAAAGCCTACATCTGTGTACTTTTGTCATTACAACAATGCGGATTAAAATAAACATTACAATTTCGAATAAAAAAAAAAACATTGTAATATTGAATTAACAGTAATCATCAATGAACAGTATCGTCATACTTACGGGAGAGTTATCTTCTCTTGACGAGATTATATCTGTCAGAGAGGATATCTATCATAACACACAGTTTGTTTTTGTTTTTCACTAAAGTGAACTAAAGCGAAGAGAAAGGATGACTAAACATCAATTGCAAGAAGACAAAATCTATGGTCATCAGCCAAAAAAACCCCCAAAAAAACATCCCGAAATGCAAAATAAAAATACAAATTAAGAAAGAGAGATAGTAAAATTAATCAAGTGTACAAATTTGAATATCTGGGAATTGTTTTAATAGAAGACCAAAAGTATGGTACCGAAATCCGAAGGCACATTGGGATAGCGAAAGATGCTTTCCAAAGTCTAAGCAAACTATTATAAAACAGGAAAATTCCGTTAGGAACAAACAAAAAAGTATTAAACTGTTATGTAATATGAGTCCTCTTATATGGCAGTGACTGCTGGACAAACTTCAAACAGGTGAAGACGGTTGCATTCATTTTTGTTTAAAATGACAAACGGAAACGAAGATTTTAAAAACAGCAAATTGGACAAAAGAAAATTCAGAGTAAAGAAAAGATAAACAAATTATTAGAAACAGGTGACAGGTCTTCGTTCCTTTTTTGTCAGAGCTGAATCCAGGAATTAAAATTCTGTATCAGTCAGTTATGTGCCATGCGTGATACACGCTTAGGCGATCATATATCTTTCGATACATGACTAACGAGGTAGATTTTTTTCCCGCAGTAGTTTGTCATTTCTTTCTACGGTAGACCAGTTGCCATCCAAGGCTATAGTATCCGGTCTGTTCTGCTATTTACCCATAGCTGGTGGGGATAAGAAGAGGATTCATACCTTTTCCAATGGTATAAGCACGTATTAACTGTATTTAACTACTAGAAGAAAGTGGAAAGAATTGAGGAGAATAAATATAAAAGGATCAATAATATATCAGAGTCAAAACAAGTAGAGCAATTTAAATCTCTGGGAAGGACGGGAAGTATGACACTGAAATCCGAAGACGAATTGCGATAGCTTTTAATCAGAGTGGCTGTGTAACCACCGTATTCACAAGACAAGCTTGGTAGGAAACGGCATACGGCAGCTAATACATGGTGACCTGACAACAGACCATCCCCAGTAAAGAACTAATTGAGCGTATCTGATACCAGTGAATGTTGTAGAATCTCCCTGCGGAGTAGGAGAAAACTGGAGGCAATAAAAATAGGGTTCTACAGAAGAATACTGAGAATTCCACGGAGAAAGCGAGTAAGCGATGAAGTCTTAGAAAAGAAAATGGTAACAGAAAGAATGCTTGTACTCAGAAGCAAGAAGTCAGCTGAAATACATTGGATATAAATTGAGGAAGGAAGACTTGGAAAAATTAATACCCACAGGGCATACTGAGGGCAAGAGTGGCACGGGAAGTCATCAAAACACTTACTTGACGAGATGGTGTGAATGGATAGCGAAACATGGACCCTTAGCAAAAGTATAGAAAAGTAAAGAAAAGAGAAATACATTATTAGAAAAAGGTTTTCGTTCCTTTCTCGTCAGAGATTAATCGAGGAATTAAAATTCTGTGTACAACGACAAAAAGGAAGAGGAAGGAATTGAGGAGAATAAAATATAAAAGGATCAGTAATATATCAGAGTCAAAACAAGTAGAGCAATTTAAATCTTTGGGAAGGACGGGAAGTATGACACTGAAATCCGAAGACGAATGGCGATAGCAAAATATGCCTTCCAAAAAAGCTGAACAAATAATCATGAAACAGAAAAAAACTGGTTAGAAACAAAGAAAAAAAGTACTGAACTGTTACTTAGTATCATTTCTCCTATATGACATTGAATACTCGAGACTCTTCTCACAGATGAAAAGGCAGCAGAAATGTGTTTCTATAGGAGAATGCTGAGAATACCATGGTTGGGGGCAAAAGGAATAGCCCAACATTAAAAATTGGCGATGCCAAAATCAAACAAGTACAGCAATTTAAATATAAATTGTGACCTTCTTGCCAATCTAGTACTGCACTTAAATTCATAAAATTTAGGTACCATCCCGTAGAGCTCATCAGAATTATCATGAAAGTATTTCTAGAAAAGGCACAGGGAAGCTAGATTACGGCGGTGGGAAAGTGAGTGAAGCCGAGATGCTATAAAACAATAAAAAAAATGAATCTAGAAGACAGTAAAAATTGACATTGCGTTTAAATTTTTTTTAAGAATAAAGTTAGCCGAACTCTTGGAGCCGGAAGAGAGTTCCACAAGTAAGAAGTGTGAGAGAAGAAACTGTTAGCATAGAACATACGGTTACATCTACACGATTCAACTGTAAATTGATGAGACCTTGTTGCCAATCTAGTACTGCGCTTAAATTCATAAAGTCTAGGTACCATCCCGTAGAGCTTTACCTTTACAATTGGACTTAATTAATTTTAGTATTGCCGAAGTTATAATCTGTGTGGCTAACTTAGAAACGTTCTATATTTGTTACAAAATGCGTAAACAGGCCCGGAATGGCAAGCTATTGGGTCAGAACACTCCTGATCTCAACTAAGTGGGCGTAGAATTCTGACAGTAATGGATTGTCTCTGTTTAAATTTTGATATAAGATCAAAACGGCGCAAGGGACTCAGAAGGTTGCAGTAATTAGAAGTGTCAAGGTGCCTTTTTCCACTTAATTTAGGTAAGTCAGTACGTGGCGATGAGATTTTAGCCAACTGGTTGACATACGTCATCACTATCTCTCTCTCGTTTCCTTCTAGAAACGATGCCACGACTATTGTCCCATCTATATAATAAATGTGAATGTCAATGTTTCAATGTGTCACACTTTTTCAATTTTAATCCTATTGGTCGTAGCTTAACATATACCATTTTTGAATGAGGCCGACTCCGTGAGCAAATTAAAAACATTCCGGGCCTGCAATCCTGAAATCTTGGATTACCAAAATTTTCATTATTGCGATTGTTTGGGCGATTTTTACATGACTTTTTGCGACGAATTTTTGCCCATGAAATAAAAATAATTATTTGTACGGAAAGTAAGGACCTACGTACATCAAATTGTGTTCAAATTAAGTGGCAGCAGAAGAATTATCGTTGAACTTTTTAAAAGGTAAACTTACATATTAAAGCAATTCTTGAATGCAG